ACCTCTGAGCTACATAACACCAGGATATCTTTATCTACAAACAAACTCTATTTCTAGAGGAGACAGATGAGAACCAGAAAGTCAATGACCAGAACACAAAGAGTACCTTGATGAGCCAGGAATATAGCAGTTTATGCTCTAGTTTAGAATATCTGAAGATCAACTCATTCACCCCTGGATAAAAACAGACTGTATTTTATGGCCCTCTCAAATACTCAATACAGACACTGGGTTTTTAACACTCCTTTTTATAGATGAGGAAATGAAGCCACAAGAATCTGTTTATACTTGCCCAGACTGGCAATTGTGTCCGGGGAAGTTATATAGAAAATTAACAGTATTTTTATTGTTGTTGTTTTGCATTTCCACTGATAGATAGCCTTTAAACTATTTTTAAAGGGTTGAGGATGTAGCTCAGTGGCAAAACACTTGCCTAGAATGTGCAAGTCCCTAGAATTCAATCCCCACCATCACAATAGCATTTTTGAAAACAGATAAATTCTGGATATTATAATTTGGCACAAGGCAGAGCTTACTAAACAAACTGCAGAGAATAGCTATCTTATAGAGAATTTTGCTTGCCTGAAACTTTGTTATGAGGGTGACCATCTCTGATGAATTCCAGGTAGGTACAATGGGTTTTCCACTATGACTATGGAGACTTGAATTACCTTCAGTTTTGCCAAACATTTTTTAATGTTCAATACCTGCTTTTAAACTGTCAAGAAATCTGTAAAGCTAAAGCATGATGAAAATAATTGTTAACCTGCTGGATTCCATGAAAGACACATATAAGACTGTGGGGAATACAGTAGACAAAAGACTTGATGTTGGTTTGGAGTAGGGAAATGGAATATGGTAGGAAGACTATGACATTTCCATTAAATAGACAGATTTTAGTCCTGCAACCAAGCAACTTCATTACTTGTCTTTTAAGCTTCAATTCCTTATTAGAAATAACTTAGAGAACACTTATGTGAGTTGCTGTGAGAATGAAGTGAAGTTTTAATGAGAACATCAAAACTATGCTCAATAAGACATTAATAGAAAACTATGTTATGGGCTAGAAAATAATACAGACTGTAAGAAAAATAGTTCCTTGGAGTAGGAAGAGATGGTATTTGCATAAACTTAATGTTTGATTTTATGTGTTTTTAATTTCTAAGAGGTTATGAACTCTTGAGAGGGCCATTACTACTACATGTAGCAGATGTAGTTTTGGTTGTTTTTTTTTTTCTTCTTGTATTTTCTCTCTATGTAAATATTTGGTGTCACTCTTTAGTCTGGAAACAATAATAGCATCAGTTTTTCCTTGGTGTAATTTACTGATCTATTTTCCTATTGCATAGATCAAAAGCAGGTACAGGTGTTTCATAGTTGAAAAAAATTGCAATGTAGTAGAACCCAATATCTAGCAGCCCAGGACCCTTTGAAGAATGATGGGAAAGATGGGAATGTGGCTTAGTGGTAGAGTCCTTGCTTAGCATGCATGAAGCCCTGGGTCAATTCTTCAGTACCACATAAACAAAAAAAAGCCAGAAATGGTGTAGTGGCTCAAGTGGTAGAATGATAGCCTTGAGCAAAAGAAGCTCAGGGACAGTGCGCAGGCCCTGAGTTCAATCTCCATGACTGGCAAAAAAAAAAAAAAAAGATGGAAAAGAGTAAAATGAAAGTTGTCTTTTGTGGGTGTGTGCATATGTGCATGTGTTAATTCATTTTTCCCTACAGTAACAAATATCTAAGATAATTAGCATAAAAGAAGAGAGGTTTACATTAGCTTATAGTTTTCAAGATTTCAGTCCATAGTTAGGTGGATCCATTACCTCTGGATCCATTTCTTGTCTCCTCTAGCAAGCCAGCAAATCATGGCAGGGAGCCTGTGGTGGAGCAAGCTGCTCATCTTATGGTGACTGTGAAGAATAAAAGAGAAAAAGGTCTGTGTCCCATAGTTCCTTTTGAGAACATACCCCCATGACCTAACACTTCCCACCAGGCCTCATGTCTTAATGGTTATACAGCTTCCCATAGTACCAAGCTGAGGATCAAGCCTTTAAAATAAACATAAGTCTTTGGGGAACAATCCAGACCCAAACTGTAGCAGAATTATTACTTTTTTTCTAGAAAAAATTCTGGAGCAAAATACTTCATTACTTTTTGTGAATATTATTAATTACATTTTATAGCTATATGAAAATCTGCATTTAACATTGATTGTTCCTCATAGGAGATTCTGGCCATATAACATATCCTATCAATGGGATAGTGCCATTTTTTTTTCAGCCATAGGGCTTGAACTCTGGGCTTGGGCGCTGTCCCTGCGTTCTTTAGCACAAGGTGAGCACTCTACTGCTTAAGCCACAATGCCACTTCCAGGTTTTTAGTGGTTTATTGAAGATAAGAGTCTCACGGACTTTCCTGCCAGGGCTGGCTTTGAACCACAATCGTCATATCTCAGCTTCCTGAGTAGCTAGGATTACAGGCTAGGATTACACCAGCACCCAGCTGAATAGTGCCATCTTTGAGAGTGAAATTTTTATTTTTAAATCTTCCTCTGGAAAGCTCTCCACTCATCTGTGTAGGACCTCTGTGGAGGCACATACTAAAACACATTGATTTGAGTCCATTTGAGATGCCTTTACAGTTTAAACTAATGTACTCATTAAGCAAATACATCATAACAATACATGATTCCATTATGTTTTACCCAGAAATAAGTTTCATTCATTTGTTTTTGAAGGCATGCTAGAGTTTGAATTCAGGGCCTCGAGTTCATTCAGTTTGCTTCTTGGTCCAGCATTCTATCACTAAATCTATGCCCCCACATGCTTTTTTTGCTGGTTGTTGTGGAGAGTCTTGTGGACTTTTCTGGCTTCTATTCCAATCTTCCAAATCAAAGCTTTCTGACTAACTAGGATCCCAGGCATGAGCAATCAGCACTTGGCTAAAACTAAGCACTCATTTTTGCACTTATATACAGATATTTCTTAAAGCTATTTGCACAAGTGGTAAAAGTTCTATAAGAAAGTATTTTCTAGAAATAATGCCTAACTGCATAATTTGCTGCTAAAACTTATCAGTGGATAACTTAGCTCCCAGGTCTCCCAGTCTCTTTTCAGGGTTTCTTTCTGTGTATTACTTCATTATATTGAAGTTGTTTCATTTAACCTATCTCTGTGAAAAATATCGGCATACATAACTTCATGTGCCCAGTTTAGAGACTTTGTACAAAGGCATGTCTGAATCAATTAAATTAATCACTGGATCAATATATATGAAAACTGTAATATTTTTAATATTAGCTTATATTAGTTATATGGGGGGTTGATTGTTACATCTTCACACATTTACACTGTATTTCAACTTTATTCTGGCATTCTTCTGGAGTTTAAGAAACTGGCCCAGAGATCTTTTTGTTGTTCTGTTTTGAGATGGGATCTTGCTGTGTTGCCCAGGCTGGCCTCAAGCTGAACTCCTGGGCTCAAGTGTTCCTCCTCCCAGTGTAGCTTCTCAAATCATTTGGGATGGGTAGTACCTGGCACGGCCAAGTTCTTATGTTTGTTTTAGTGATGTCAATCACCCCACTGGCTATTTGAGAATTCTGCTACTGGACTGAATGGGTTTTAGGCCACCGTTGCTTTGCCTAAAGCAGACTGAGTCATACCTGAATGTAAGAAAGCAGCGGTCAGCTTTGTGTTTCAGTAATCTTTTATTTGTGCTGGATTGAGTTCCTCCAGAGCAGAAAGAAGCCACAGTATTCATTTCCTGGGCTCAGAATTTAGGTCTGCCACAAAGTAGGCAAACTCAGTAGCTTTTTTTTTTTTTTTTTTTTTAAGGTTCCTAACTGGAAGCAGTACTACCAGCGATTTCATGCTACTAACTTCAAATCCCCCACAAGAGGGGTAAAAATCACCTGCATTCATCTAGGCACGTCCTTGAAAGTTCACCATGCCAAGAACTTTTGGTCATTTTTACTTCTTCCCTTTACTTAAAATGGTTTGTAATTTTTGAATGGTGGGGATTGTCTATTACAGTGCAATTGTCACAATCCTCTTATTATTTTAAAATTTCAGTTGTCATTCATAAACGGAGCACAGTGTACTGTGCATGAAAAGCTGGAAGGATCTTCACACATTCACACAGCACTGCAACCAGCATTCCGATCACGAAAAAGAACGTTTCCAGCTCAGAACCTTCCCACCGAACCAACATGCCCGCCATCCCTCAGAGGTACCCATTATTCTTAACTACTCTAGCACCCCTGCGTCTTGTGCGGAATTATCTTGGAGGAAGTGGTAGATGGCACGACTAAAACCGCAGATCTGCGCTCGGAGACCCGGGCTTGGTGATCTCCTTTATTGGGCACCCCGTACATTCCTGGGGGTACACAGGGCTCTTTTTGACCCCACCGAGGCTGGTAGTTCTTGAAGAGGGTCCCTCACACCTAGCAAATGGCCGGGCTTCACGCCACAATGGCTGTTCAGCCTACTCCAGCGCGGGCTCACCGCATGCTCTGCACCTTTCGCGTGGGCACGGGTCTCGGGTGTTGGGCAGCCGGGCGTGGCCCTGGGCGCGACCTGCTGGAATGCGATCTGCCGGGGGCGGCGCTGCCGAGCTAGGATGTGAGGCACTCTCTTATTGGCTGAGCTTTCCTGTGGGCCAGCCCCAGGCCCTCTCTCTGCGCCCCCATTGGCCGTTGAAGTCCCACTGGCGCCGCTCCCGCCCCACTCCCTTCCTGATGGAAACCTGGTGTTCGTGTGTGTGTGTGTATGTGTGTGTGTATACGTGTGTGTGTGTGTGTTGGGGGAGGTTAGGAGGCTGAACAGGGGAGGAGGATGAGTGGTCCTCCCGGTAAGGGTGCCCTCGAGAGCCAATCAGAAGCCTATGTGGAAAAGAGGCGCAGGGCCAACCAATCATATTCCGAGGTGCGTTGGGACCCGCTGACGTGAATGCTACTGCAGCCAATGGGCGTGCCGCTGTGCGTCCGCTCTTCGGCAGCCGGCCGGGGGCGGTGAAGAGAGCGCGACGGCGGCAGTGGCGGCGTAGCCATCGCTGGACTGCCTGGGAGAGAGAGCGAGGCCCCTCCTCTGCGTCTAGGTGAGAGGCAGGGACGCTCCTAGAGGCCTGAGCCGGGAGCCTCCTCTTTGCCCTGCCCTTGCTGAGGCTCCCTGAGGGCTGGCTGGGCTGAGGTGGGGCCGTCGGCCCACCCCGCCCCCACCGTGTCCGTCCGGGGAACGGGGCGCTTACTTCAGCCGGGATGGTCCCTGCGCGGCGTGGCCGGGCCACCGCCCTCTGGAGGGCCGGCTTCCTGAGGGGGCCGGACGGACAGGCCTGGCTAGCCTCGGCGGAGTCGGGGGCGGAGCCGGGGGCGCCGCTCCGGGTGGGAGGCCGCGGAGTGGTGGGGAAGGTGGGGCGGATAGTTGACAGAGGAGCGGGCTCCGGTGCTGGAGGGAGGGTGGTGGCTAAAGCCGGGCCCTGCTTGAGGGATTCCAGGCCCAGGGGGAAGAAAGTGATGGGAAAAGGGATGATGCTCAGAAAAAGGGTGTCCTGTGAAGAAGGCGCGGGCCGGGAGGCCGTTGGCAGGCGGTCGGGGTTCGGGAGGGATCAGCTGAGAAGGAAGGGGAAGTAGGTTTGGGTTCTGAAGGTTAAGATCGCTACACATATGGGAGACACGTGGACTGAAACCAGAAGGTGACTGCGGGGAGAGGTGTTCTTTTAGTGTGATATATGGAAGGAGACTGCTTGACCAGAAGACGTTACTTGGCCTGCTGAAAAAGTATACAGGAATAGTTGAGGTAGATATATGTATGGTAGCTGAAAGGCTGTAAATCTTTTATGAGTAACGAGCAACGGCGGAGTCAGGAGAGCCAAATGTCTCAGGTTCATAGGGTTCATTCACTACTCATGAGGGACTGAACAATCAGACTTGTTAACTCTCACTCCTGAGGCTGGTCATACCTTGCACTTTCTTCCTCTTTCCATGCTGATTATTTTGCTTGAGCAGCACAAACGTACCCTGTCTGCAGTAATGGGCATACACGTTTACTTTAGGTGAATCGCTTCCTTCTTTAACAGTTAAGTAGAATGATAGTTTAATGGCAACATGGCAAGAAACTATTGGAAAATCTGCCCTAGAGGGTTGTTTCTCAATTATCTTGTTGGGCGTGTGTAATACAGCATAAAAATGATGCAAGATCTCTATACATTAACACCAATGAGGCTTAATGTGTATGTGTAGTTCTCTATAAAAATGCATCAATATATTTTTAATATATTTTTTATTGTAAAGATACTGTACAGAGGGGTTACAGTTACATGAGTAAGGTAATGAGTACATTTCCTATCGAGCATTGTTACCCACTCCTTTGTTTTTCTCCTACCATTCCTTCCCTTCCCACCTCCCCAACTCCTCCCTCCCCCTGTCCAAAGTTGTAAAGTTCGTTTTCAACATTGTGTCTTGAAAATGCATCAGTTTAATGTAGTGGAATTTGAGTATGTCTTTCACTTCTTGGGAAAATTTCAGCCCTGATAAGAGAAGAGTTTTGTAGCTAAAAAAAGGGTTTAAAATTCTTCTCACTCGGGAAAGAGTCATGTGCAGTGGTAGCATGTATGGGACTCTGAGTTCCATCGTAGCACTGAACAATAAAAGGCAGAAAAGAAAGACCTGGTATTATATGTGTGTGTACACACACACACACACACACACACACACACACACACATCAATTACTGTTACTGCCTTTTTGTTTGAAGCTTTTGGAGTTTTTATTTGTGAAGTATTGGAAGTTTGAAGACAGAGAAGTGGCCACATCCAGTATATTTGGGTGAAAGAGATAATTTCTGTTTGTGGGGAAGGACAAAAGGATTGTGAAGAGTTACAGTGTATAGGACAGAGTAACGAACAGTTGTTATAGGCTGTTTCCTTGTTCACCAGATCAACAAAGCATTGTAACTAATGAATCATCATTCTTTAAGAGGTAGAAATTATTTTTTAGAAGTTATTTCTTGATGACACGATTCACTGTGATCACATTTTACTGTAGTAATAGAATACTTAAGCACTGAAGACCTTCTTTAGTAATAGAATAAGTACTTAAGCACTGATGACCCTCAGAGAAGAGAATTAATTTAAGTGATGTGGAGTTAGGAAAAGTTTCCTGGAAAAGGTGAGTTTTCAGCCATCACTTCAAGTAGGAGATGGGAGTCTGGATTATTAGAAGATACAAGAATGAAAATCCAGTAATTTGGGTTTAGTTATAAGCAGCTCTGGACAAGAATCACAAATGTATTTTAAATTAATTTATTATGTTACTATAGAAGTGATGTACAGAGGGCTTACAGTTATATGGGTCATGTAATGAGTACATTTCCTTTAGTAGATTGTCATCTGTTGCCTCATTTTCTCCCAGTCCCTCCCTCCCATCTCCACCCACAGAGTTGTACAGTTCACTTTCATCAATGTCCAGTGAGCTTCACTACTGGACTTTTTCGCCCCTTTTCCCTTGAGTTCTGTGCCCTCTCCCCCACCATCCCAAAGATATACGTGTAAATACACCATAAAAAAACTAAAAACTAATTTAAAAAAGAAAGTATTTTGTTTCTATATCTTGGAGTTTGTTTTAGTATGTATATTATTTTATATAAATATGATGAGGCACTTAAGCATTGTGCCTTTGTGTTTCTTCTTAGGAATATCTTCTTTTGGTCTCACTGTGTGTATCAAGAATCCTGTATAATTTGTCATATCCCAGTGCATTTTAGATCTAACTTGTGCATATCAGAGAGAACATCTGAGAGATAGCTTACCTCACTTAACAGGAAGAACCATGAATTTAAAAGGTTGATATGTTTTGTTTTTTCTTTTTTTGCCAGTACTGGGGCTTGAACTCAGGGCCTGGGCACTGTCCCTGTACCTCTCTGTGGTCAAGGCTAAAGCTCTACCACTTGAGCCACCGCACAACTTCAGCTTTTTCTGAGTAGATTATTGGTGATGAGACTCTCACAGATTTTCCTGCCCTTAGCTGGCTTTGAACAAAGATTCTCAGATCTCAGCTTCCTGGGTAGCTAGGAATATAGTTATGAGTCACTGGTGCCTGGCTTAAAAGAGTTTTTTGTTTGTTTGTTTGTTTGTTTTTGTCAGTTGTGGGGCTTGAACTCTGGGCCTGGGCCCTCTCCCTCAGCTCTTCAGCTGAAGGCTAGCTCTCTACCACTTGAGCCATAGTGCCACTTCCAGCTTTTTCTGTTTATGTAGTGCTGAGGAATTGAACCCAGGGCCTCATGCATGCAAAGCAAGCACTCTACCACTGAGCCACCTTCCCAGCCCTTCAAAAGAGTTTTTATGGAGAAAGATTTAAATGAACATTTGGAATGTAGAAATCAACTAAGCCTCTAAATGCAGTTTAGTTGATATATAATATTTCTGGGTGGTAGCTAGGAGAGAATTATTTGATGCATTAAATATAATAAAGGGTGTAGTGATAGTGGCAAATTTTATTTGACACTGTTGTGCCAGATATTCTTTGCATGTATCATCTTTTGATTATCTATTTTATGGGTGAGAGAGCTGAAGACAGATTTAGCCTGCCTAAAGGCATACTAGCTAGTAAATGACAGGTCTGGATTTGCAAAAATGAGCAATAATGTTAAATCAAGTATTGGCTTGATACCAGGCATTTTGTTACATGCTAAGGATTCGCAGTTGACAAGAAAATATAAAGGTCAGGTCTCAGCCAGACCTGTTATAGAAGAAGAGCAAGTGATGAAGGAAAAAGTTTACTTGTAGAGATTTTGAGAGCTACTGAGGAATTTACTATTTGGAAATTTTTAAGACAGAAGAAAATGTTCAGAAGTGCTTAAGACTCAGAAGAACATGATTGAGAAGAAACAATTGAGTTAGATAAGGAAAAAAGAAATGTGAATTTAGTGTCCAGAAAGCCAACATAAATTAAAATATGGGCTGGTAATTATGCTTAATGGCAGGTATTGTACAAATTTAAATTTGTGGTGTAATCATAATTATGATCAAACTCACAGAATGGATGATGACAGGGCTCCTTGTAATGCTTTAATTGGGCTATAAAGATCCTGAATGGCCTGTGAATTTTAACAGATACACACCTGTTAAAATGTTTTTAAAAAATAAGCATAATATTTGTATAAAAGCAATTGGGTGAAAGCCAACTAAGAGAAATAAGCAAACAGTGGAGGAATATGTAGGTTGGAATTTGGGGTGGTAGAAAAGATAGTCTTTTTTTTTTTTTAAATTTTATTTTATTTTATTTGAGAACATACTGTACAGAGGGGTTACAATTACATGGGCAGGATAATGCATGCATTTCTTACCAAGCATTGCAGCCTCCTCCTTTGTTTACCCTTCACTTCCCTTCCCAGCCTCCCCCCTCCCCCCCACCCAATCATACCCCCCCCCACACCGACATTGTAAAGCTGGTTTTGACATGACATTTTGTACTTCTCATTGTTGCAACAGGTCCACCTGAATCCTTAAATGACTTGTTTGTCCCCGTCTCCTCCACATGTTATACTGACATCAAATATAGTGAAAGCGGGGGTTACACTGTGGGGGAGGGACATCCAAAGCAACAAAGAAATAATCTTATAAATGCGTTAGAAACACATGCATGAAAGAAACAAAAACATTAAAATACATATTTGAGGGTTCGTTTTCCTAACATCACATTCTCTGACCTTTTCCGCTTGACTCATACCTATACTAGATATTGCAAATAAGGGAAACCATGGGACCTATGTTTCTTTGGGCCTGGCTTACTTCACTTAATATAATTTTTTCCAAGCCTTTCCATTTCCTAAAAACTGGGGCAATGTCATTCTTTCTGATGGAGGCATAGAATTCCATTGTGTATATATACATCACATTTTCTTGATCCATTCATCTACTAAGGGGCATCTGGGTTGGTTCCATATCTTAGCTATGGTAAATAATGCTGCAATAAACATAGCTGTGCTGGTAGCTTTAGTGTGGTCTTTTTTGTAAACATTAGGGTAAATGCCCAAAAGTGGGATTGCTGGGTCATAGGGGAGTTCTATGTGAAGTCTTTTGAGGAACCTCCATGCTGCTTT